CTGGATCATTAAGAGATGATCCTTACTGTTCTTCCTCGAGGTCCAGTAAGGATCATCTCTTAATGATCCAGTGTTACTACAGGAGGAAACCTAAACTAAACTAAATTCATTTATACTGGATGTTTCTATCTGTTCTAAACTGGTCTTCCTAAAGGTCCAGTAAGGATATCTCTTATTGATCCAGTTTTACTACAGAAGGAAACCTAAAAACTAAGCTGACATAATGATATTTCTATCAGTTCTGAACTGTTCTTCCTAGAGGTTCAGTGAGGATCATCTCTTATTGATCCAGTGTTACTACAGGAGGAAACCTAAACTAAGACGACATCTTTATACTGGATAGTTTATCAGATCTGAACTGCTCTAGTAAAGGAAACCTAAACTGATAAGTCTTTCCATACATACATATTTTATGTTGTCCTTTGACAGGAAATTTCACAACAAGTTCTCGAGGATTTTCGGGAATAAATACAAATGCAGAAGATGACTCCTCACTGCCAGGGAACTGAAAGAACAAATAAACGAGTGTAACTCATTGTCCAGGAATCTCTCCTTGACGAGTAAAATTATTTAGGGGTTAAATTATAAAGAGGCATGAGTAAAATTATAATCCCATTTTCCCAGGAAACAATAAGCAAATCCCGGCTGTCATTTTAATTTTCCACGACCCTCACGACGCCTATGGGTGGAAAGCTGTACTAAATAAATGCACGAAATATCTTCTACAATGTTTGTGATGTTACTCTGAGTGTGTATCCACACCGGGCAAGCTGAGAAGTTTGCCTGACCACGGTGGGAATCGGGATACTTTGGGATACTAGTCCAATGCTCTACCAACTGAGCTACCCACCGTGGTCAGACAAACTTTTCAGCTTGCCCGGTGTGGATGCACACTCAGAGTAACATCACAAATATCATATTCACCTGAGTACATTACACCAACATACACAAAAGAATGTCATATCTTCTACAAATTAGGCGAAGTATATTTATGTCAAGGGCACACCTGTTCATTGTATTCTTCTTGTGATAAACAGTCGACAATATCAACACAGCCCAACAGACAACCAGAAGGATAATATTCAGGAAAACGTGATTTTTCTCCTAACATATAAATATAGTTAGTAAGTTTGTTCTCACTTTTGTGTTCGAGTAAGGGCTATTGCCTATTGCATTAACTGGAACAACAGGGGTAGAAAAAATAGGCGAACACTGCTCGCAGGAAATGTTAAACAGCTGCAGGAAATTCGTTTGAATTAAGATTTGCTATTGAAAATTTGAAGGAAACCTTAACACCTATGTCTCACTATGGGCACAACAACATATGGTTGACAGACATTATTCCTTGAATTTAAAACCACGGTCAGCGAGAACACTATATGTTTATGCACATGCAGATTTAGCACAAACATACTCCGTTGGTCTGCAGGAAATTTTATTTCTCCAGGTTGTGCTCCCAGGAAGAAAATGATTTTTTCCTGCCCTGTGGAGCAATTGTGGAAAATCTGCGCTCTTTGGTAGAGTCGAACTGGAAGCACTCTTTCATTTTTTAATTCTTACCTAAAGCTCGATAATAAGCTTCCATCTGCTTGAGGTTTTCTTGATCGGGTTGTTTTGCAGTAGCTGCGATCCACAGTCGACCACGATGAGTTGTGTACCAACTACGACCTTCAGCCCTGGAGGAAAGTCAAGAAACACGCAATCAGTTTGACTCACAGGAAAGTGTATGTGTCACAGAGGATACAGTGCCCCTCCGCCCCCTAGAAACTAGATCAGGTCGTGGGTGTGATCATCGGAAGACCACAATGAGTTGTGTACAAACTGCAGCCTTCAGTTCTGTGTAAAGAATGAAAAGCATGCAAAGTCATTTTGATAAAGCAAAATGTTATAGTAATCACAACTTTATGTAGAAAACTTTGTATAAGTCTAGGAGTATTGCTCCAGATACGATAACATAATCCCCCAGAAAACCGTTATCTATGAATGCTCCGTTTAGTATTGATACTTATTTATGAATGCTCAAACCCATTGAGTGCCATGAGTAATCGTTAAACCAAAGTAGAACATGTTATTATATGCGATGCCAGTTGAAGGGTTAATCTCACAAAGACTTTGAAATGTATTTCTTACCAGAGCCTTCCTGTTCACAGACAATCCTCCCGCATTGAAAAGCATGCACAGTCATTTTCACCACAGTTAACATAATACAAGTTTGGGAAGTCAAAGGACGGACAATGTACAGGTTTTTACAGTTAATCCAAGCACTGGCTTACGAGGTACATGAACTCATGAAAGTAATTATCTGTACATACCTTTTGATCCCACAAACCAACAATGATGCCCAAGGTTGATGCATGCTCAGACACTTTCCTGCAGTGATAATAAAAAATATATATGTGCGAGGCCCAAGAGCCAGATTTAGGGGGTGGGGGAGGGGGGGGCAGTGTTAACACTGTGGGGCGGCAAACTTCACACTGGCACCCCTTGAGATTTTGAAGCCAACACGCCACTGCCAATAACAAAACAAAAACAACAAAAATAACCAATAGAACAATATATAAAACAATAATAACCAATAAAACGTCATTTCACCTTCATCCGTCATTTCCAGTAGCTCTTTGTCTTGAATACGAAGTGTATTTCGAGATGATTCTTTTGCTTTTGGTTTTGTCGACTTTTGTTTTTTGCCAGACGCTGGCTGATCATCCTCGATATACTGTGTACAAATAAAAATACATTTATCATAACAAAATATTTAGATGAAAGCGACCCAGCCCAACTATTTTGGTAGCCTGTTTTGCTGAGATTATATAACATCCGTTTGGAAGACTCCAGATATAGACTAAATTTTGATCTGGGCATAAGAAAAAAAATCCATTACCACAGCTAGAAAGAGCATATTAAAATTAGTAAAATTACAAAGTTTGGTCGCGAAATGTTGTAAAATGAGGAAAATATAGCCCTACGAAAGTTGCAAATTTTGTATTAATTTCTATTACGCACGGGAAATACACCACTTTCGGCCCAAATGTGGTGCAAATTCCAGTGCGTAATACAAATTAATACAAAATTTACAAATTTCACAGGGCTATATATTTTCGCATTTTACAACATTTCACGGCCAAACTTTGCAATTTTACTAATTTTAACATGCTCTTTCTAGCTGTGGCGATGGATGTTGTTCCTCTTGCCTAGATCAAAATTTAGCCTATAGCTGGAATTGCCCATTCCATCCCGCAGCTACATACGTGACAACTAAGCTGGCCAGTCTAAGATCTTGCACATATAATTTTAATTTCTATCTGACACTAACCACGGGAGGCTCAGCAACATATCTTGGGTGGTTAGATCCATCATTGTGACCCAAAGTCGATTCTAGGAATTCCTCGGCAGACTTGTATATTTCTGAAAGATACAACAGTATTAGTGAAACACGTCAGGTTCAATTCCTGTAGTCTGTGTAAGAAAAAAGGATTTTCTTCCTGGGAGCACAACCGGGAGACAAAGATTTCCAGGAGACAAAAATTTCCCGAAGAAAACAGAGTATTTTTGCGCTAAAAATATGCATGTGCATAAACATATAGTGTTCTACAGCAGACTTTGGTCTTAACAAGCTTGCTACAAACATATTGCAAACACATCTTGTTGACAAGTTGTTGGAACAGCATTGTCACAACTTGTTAACAAGCTTGCTACAAACCTGTCGCGAAAAGTCTTGATGACAAGTTGTTGGAACAGCATTGTCACAACTTGTTAACAAGCTTGCTACAACCCTGTCGCAAACAATCTTGTTGACAAGTTGTTGGAACAGCATTGTCACAAATTGTTAACAAGCTTGCTAAAAGCCTGTTGCAAACACATCCTGTTGAAAAGTTGATGGAACAGCATTGTCACAACGTGTTAACAAGTTTGCTACAAGCCTGTCGCAAAAAATCTTGTTGACAAGTTGTTGGAACAGCATTGTTACAACTTGTTAACAAGCTTGCTACAAACCTGTGGCGAAAAGTCTTGATGACAAGTTGTTGGAACAGCATTGTCACAAATTGGTAACAAGCTTGCTACAACCTGTCGCAAAAAGTCTTGATAACATGTTGTTAGAACAGCATTGTCACAACTTGCTAACAAGCTTGCTATAAGGCTATTGTGAAAAATCTTGTTGACAAGTTGTTGGAACAGCATTGTCACAACTTGTTAACAAGCTTGCCACAAACCTGTCGCGAAAAATCTTGATGACAAGTTGTTGGAACAGCATTGTCACAACTTGCTAACAAGCTTGCTATAAGGCTATTGTGAAAAATCTTGTTGTCAAGTTGTTGGAACAGCATTGTCACAACTTGTTAACAAGCTTGCTATAAGGCTATTGTGAAAAATCTTGTTGACAAGTTGTTGGAACAGCATTGTCACAACTTGTTAACAAGTTTGCTGCAGACCTGTCGCGAAAAATCTTGATGACAAGTTGTTGGAGCAGCATTGTCACAAATTGGTAACAAGCTTGCTACAAGCCTGTCGCGAAAAGTCTTGATGACAAGTTGTTGGAACAGCATTGTCACAACTTGTTAACAAGCTTGCTACAAGCCTGTCGCGAAAAATCTTGTTGACAAGTTGTTGGAACAGCATTGTCACAACTTGTTAACAAGCTTGCTACAAACCTGTCGCAAAAAATCTTGTTGACAAGTTGTTGGAACAACATTGTCACAACATGTTAACAAGCTTGCTACAAACCTGTTGCAAAAAGTCTTGTTGACAAGTTGTTGAAACAGCATTGTCACAACTTGTTAACAAGCTTGCTGCAAACCTGTCGCGAAAAGTTTTGATGACAAGTTGTTGGAACAGCATTCTTAACAAGCTTGCTACAAACCTGTCGCGAAAAATCTTGTTGACAAGTTGTTGGAGCAGCATTGTCACAACTTGTAAACAAGCCTGAGACTCATACCATTGCTGGTTTGACTCAACTAAAGTCGACGCTCAGGTTTGTCTTAATATTAAATGCAACGCCGTATACACTACTATAGAATTTGTAAACAATCTTGCTTACCATTCATCTTTTCTGTTGCCTGCTCTTCAATCACCTTCCTTCCAGCAAAATCTAAAGTGACTTTCTTGTCTCGTCGAGAACCATGTTTTAACTGTTGCAGCTTGCTTTCTTTATCTTTCAAAATCTTACGTTCTTTCTTGCTCAGCCATTTTGAATCTGTCGCGAAATAGTCTGATTCGTCGTCTATTACCTTGGTACGACGCACACTAAATGCAGATAAATAAAATAGTAATTATCATTCCAGATTCGAGTCGGTGTTTACAGCATAGCTTAAAAAATAAATCACTAAATCAGAGATGCCGTACAAGGTTGTACGCTCGGTACTAAGTTGACGTACGTTTAATCGATGTTGGCATATGATTTTATATGATCTACCTTGTTCTATCATATTCCAGTAATCTGTCCTTTAGTTCAGTTGCCTTACGACTCTTCAATTCTTCCTAAGAAAGTCAAATACAGTAACAAGTTAAAAACCACAGCACTCTTGAAATTTTGAGGGTGGAGGCACTTTTCTATTTTTGCTTACATCTTCATTCGCCTTCACATTCCAACTATCCAGTAGCTTTTCTTTCATCTTTTGACTTCGTTTAGAATTCTTTGTGAGCAATTCTCGTTCTTCAGTGGTGCAAACTATCTCGCCACAAAAATAACATGGGCCTAAAAATTATCGGGATAATGCATAATATTACAGTTGTTTTCATGAAACGTTGACCACAAATGTTACAAACTTCGTTGCAAAGTTTGCAAGTTCGTTGCAAAGTTTGCAAGTTCATACTGTATTGGGATTAATCTTACAAAGACTTTTAAATGTATTTCTTACCAGAGCCTTCCTGTTCACAGACAATCCTTCCACATTGTAGACAATTATTAACCAGTTTATGTTTCTGCCCCAAACACTCACAAGGATGTCGTCCGGGTAGACGTACGCTTGTTCTGGCTTGTCCTTCATCGCTGTACAGTGAGACGAAATGTGATGATTTCTTCTTTATCGGGGATTGCTACACAAAACATGAAAGAAAAATTGCGGAAAGAGATTATGTTTAGAACTGACAGTATGAAATCAAGTGCCAGAATTATCCCATTGACAAGTAAAATAATAGAGTAGGGTGCATCAGGTGGCAATGGCACCTAATGGATTAACAGGGTGCATGGGCAGATTAATTAACAGGCATTGAGTGGCAGCACTCTCGGCCCGTGACAAGTAAAATTGTCTGGCATTAGACAGAGTAAAATAATCTGGCATTAGACAGAGTAAAATAATAAAGTAGGGTGCATCAGGTGGCATTGCCACTAAAAAGGTTAATAATATAAACTAATTTGGATAGTTCTAACATTTCTAGACTATTCTTCCTATACAGAGACAGATTTTCATATTTTTGTTCGGGGTGTGTGGATAAATATCTGGGGGGGGGGGGTGCTGCTGCTTGCTTTGGCCAGGGCCTTGTGGCAACACCCAGAAAGGCCAAGAAAAAAGTTTAACAAAATTTGTTTTCTAGGCCTGCATGGCAAGATCTGAGACCATAATATTGGTAATTTTACAAATTTAGTTGTATGAATAATCAAATATGAAACTATCGAATCAAAATATATATAATTTGCGGGGGTGGAAAAACTTTTGGGAGCATTTTCTGGGGGGCGCACCCCCCGCACCCCCAGAAAATCTGTGCCAGTTCCTAGAGGTTCAGTAGTAGTAGTAGAACTGTATTTATCCACGCTGACCCCGTCAACCGTAGCTGATTTCCACAGGGGGCGTGTGATGGCCACACTAACACTATTTACTGATCCAGTATTACTTCAGGAGGAAAACCTAACCTAAAATAACTTTTATTTTTTTTTGCCATTTCCATATACTATATAAAGTACTTACTTCTCCTTTTACGTTTACTGTCTGTTTCTTTATTTCACCATCAGATGCTGATTTTTGGGGACCAACTGCAGACTATGAACATAAGGCATAGCAACCAAGTCAATTTGTTGACAAAACACTAATCATTACCATTGCCTAATACATACCCTCTCTTTCTGTTTTTCATTCTTTTGTGGTTTTGGCTTTTTCAAAATCTGCCAATTGAGACAAATTTCTTCCACAAATTGTTTCACCTTCCCATCATCCGGGTCCAACAACTGAAACAAGTATTCTCTCACGTCCGCTTCACTTTCAATTGAAAACAAATAGCTGCGGAGAGAATGGAAAGTTGATGAGTTTCTACAGCCAATCACAAGGAGACACACTAGAGGGTGGGGCTAGGGTGAATGGGTGACGGGGTCGGGCATTTTGCACACAACAGGTGAGCGATGTCAACGTTTATGAATAAATAATTTAATGTCGATTCAAAGTGTGAAACCTCGAGTGAAACCATAGCAGCCCAAAAATGTGTGGTAAAAATTTTTACCCTCGCCCTGATTGGATTTCTTCATTTTCGCCCGCCAAAGATTTACGCCAGGAAAATTACAACTTTAGAAAACCTGCCAAAAGCACAAAATTTCTTAGGCCGCGTTTACACTATGACGCTACGGCTAACAGTCCGTTAAAAATTTACTACTTTTCTAGTGTTGAGACTAGGAATGTTCGGTATGAGAAATTTCCGGTATCGGTATACCGAAAAAATTATACCGATATTATCGGTATACCAGTTTTCCTTTGATAATTATAAAGGAAAATTCTTTAATGGAAGTTTGAAGGAAATTTTGAGTAATTCTAAAAGGGAAAACGATAATTTTGAAGCTGTTTCAAACATGTTTCAAACGACATGCACATACTCAGTGTAAAATCTCACCTGAAGTGGAAATTCTAAATCATTGCAGTAGAAAGTTCTTTGAATTGCCATTCAGTAGTAAAATTAAGGTTATGGTTTCGGTATACCGAACAGTCCTAGTTGAGACTACTATATTGTGTTTACACTATAACGGAGTGGTTTGCAAAAGCGGGCTAACTACCGACCACTACATTTGCCACTCTGAATACAAATCAATTTTGTTAAAAATTCTTAGTATAATGTGTTTACACTATAACGGATTGGTTTGCTGTAGCGTAATAACTACGGACCAATACGTTTGGCACTCTGGATGCAAATCACTACGCTACGGTAGTGGCCGTAGCGTCACAGTGTAAACACGGCCTACACACAGTCCGCCAGCCCGCAAATGTACCACCTTTTAATTTTTTATGCCAAAAACTCCTTTGTGCCGCGCCAAATGGCTATGCTTTCCGCCAAAGATCTTGAGTTGATGGATATCGGAATCCAATCTGGACCCTTGCACAAGTCTACTTTGTTAATGCCATGACAATAATAATAAACAAAGTAGACTCGATGCACGCCCGAGCACCATGCGTGAGGGTAAAAATTTTCACCACACATTTTTGGGCTGCTATGGTGAAACTGAAACCAAATATTGGCCAATACTCCAATCACCATCAAACTTTCTGAAGTAAAAGCGGTTTTTGCAAGACACCTCATTCCCAACATGATTCAAAAGTGTTACCACGTTATAAATCATTACTTTATGCCTTAGTTTTTAAAACTACTTACTTAGAAAACTCCTGTCCGACGTCAGTTCCGAGCAATTTTGATATCTCATTTCGACACCACAGCTTGAAATTGTCCACCATATTTGTTTGGCGGGAAGCCCACGCGCGATTTCTTCCCGCGTGGGGTTTGGACAAAATTTCTGTGCCAGAGACTGGGGCCAAAATGGACCTTTTCACTGCCACGACGCCATATTGAATATCGCAATGCATTTTGGCCTACCCTAGGGTAATCTTTGAGAAAGTGCATTTCCAAGACAAGAAGTTTATTAAAAAATCTGGAACATTGGGCAGAATTGTGCAAAAATTTTAACCCTAACCCAGAGAATAATTGGATCTACTCGATTCGATGGCTCTGGGTACAAGATTGTCTAAAAGCTCGATATCACCATCCCCCCCCCCCCCCAGGAAGTAATTATGCATGATATTACACACAAACAAGCGTTAACTAATTTTGCCTTTCGCTGTTCTTTTATTCAATTCTATCATGTCAAATAATGAATTTGAGAACAGGGCAACAACATGAATATAACATAATTCAATACAATAAGTAATATAATATAAAAACAAATTTGCCAACACATAGAGCTGGCAGACTGCTACCAGACAAAAATACCAGCTTTTTGCCTCTATATTACATTTCTACAATACGACTATTTGAATGATGCGTAGAAAATTGAAGGCTCAGCGAGCATATTAATGGTGGCGTACCTTTCGACAGATTTGTCAATGCACAATTAATAGAATAATATAGAGAGATAACATGATAGAAATGGGGGCTTACTAATCTAAGAAGGGGGAGGGGGCTAAACAGGATTAAGAAAAAAATCTTATTGCTGGTTTTACACCATCAAAGTTTATGCGATCACAGTAGGAATTTTTCATCGGCAAATTCTTGAAAGATTTGTAAGAAATGTTTGAGGGAATTGACTCGGTGTTTAATACTGAGTCAGTCCCATCAAATATTTCTTACAAATCCTTCAAAACTTATCGTTCCGTGTTTCGCGCACCAATATAGGTTAGGGGTTAGGCACTAGGGGTTAGGTTTAAGGTTAGGGTGTGTATATATGTGTATGGAGGAATCCAGTTAACTTTTCAGTACACTATAATATCCATTACATAACGTTTACTATATTGGAGCGCGAAGCATGGAACGATTACCCAAAATTCCTACTGTGATCACAGAAACTTTGCGAGTGTAAAACCAGCAATAAGTTTTTCTTAACCAGCATTTAGATACATTTAGAGCTAAAGAGGATTTGTGCACCTTCGTTTTGAAACTCTTTAAGAATTACGATTCATGTACGAGCCTTCCTTACTGTGTTTAGTCCAATTAGCCCATCTCACGCCGCCATTTTTGGGTGGCTTTTGGGTGGCCACATAACAGCGAGTTTTTATTTAACAGCGCCATTTTTGGGTGGCCACATAACAGCGAGTTTTTATAATTTTTTGGACGAATGATGGCAAATTTGCTTTGTAAATGGTTAGTTTATTTTGAAGAACTGCTTCTCACATTGTTTTAATTGTCTGCATTGTTGGTTAACGAGAATTAGATGCCACCCAAAAATGGTGAGCATTCGTCATCGTGAGAAAGGCTAATTAACTATCGTCGTACTGCAACAATAGGGGGATTCAAGGTTTCTGACGCCATAACGACCCATAGTGTAAACACAATGGAATTCCCTACAGGTAAATTTGCAGGGGTGCAAATATAATGGTGAAAACAATAGATTCAAGATGGCGTCGGAACCTTGAATCCCCTTATTCAATGCACTGTTTCTTGCAGTTATATTGGCATTGCGAAATTGTCTATGTATTGTACCTAATAATTAACGCGGTAACGCACTGAAGTGTATGCCTTTGAAAAGCACCCAAGTTCGCATTTCTATTTACACAGTTCTAGTCACTGAACAGGTCTCTAAAGCCTTTCTCTAGCAGCAAGTAATGAACACGAGCGATGATATTCTCTTTTAAAAAGAGCGGGATAATACTATGATACGTCTATGATAAAACATTTGTAAAACTAAATATTTACAAACTCACTGAACTCTAGATAAGACTGGATTGAACAACTGTGATCACTGATCCGAAAATAGAGCATCCACACTACGCATAAATGAAGCCAACGTCGGCCATATTAATGTGACCAGCACGAATCTACTGTGGTATTGCTTCCAATTTCTAGTGTCTTTTCTTTTCTGATGGATGTGAATGAGTAAATAAACTATGAATGATTTGAGTATATGTACCCTAACCTGAAAACTCCTAACTCATCCACTCTTTCACATACATCAGGAGAAGAAAATCTCACCTAACATCGCACCAAAAATTGCAAATGTGAATGAGCCTTCAGGGGAGTTTCTAACAGTTTCTGGCTCATTTAATTCAAAAGGGTTCGCTATCCAGCTCCAGTTTCGGATCAGTGACTGGCAAAAAATCGAAAGTCATCCATTTTCCGCTGCGTTGAGCAATCCAATCTAATTTTGAGGTCAGTGACAAAAGCTGCATAAAACACAGCTAGTAATTCCGTGACTATTGCTAACGCCACCTATCGTTGTGATTCGCGTCCAGTCTTACGCGTTTTGGGTCTCCTCCGTCCAGTCCATCTTTCTCGCGCGGTCGGCGACTGTTGTAAGATGAGGTCGGAGATAGCGGGGACCGGGAACCCGGTGATATGGGATCATTCTCCGAGGGCGGTTCAGACTTCACCACCACAGCCATATTAGAGCCCGGGATGCGACGGTTCGCCATGCCACCCCCACCTAATGAATTCCCCCTGAAAAATGACAGATTAGGTTTTAGTTTTTTAGATTCGAAAGCAATCTTGAAAATCGGAGGTGGGTTGGGCATATAAATACCCCCCCCCCCTCTCCTCGGGGGTGGAAAAAATCAGGAGTTTTGGGAAGTACGTGCCCTAAATAAGGAGATAAATGCTCATGTGTATAACAGATTTGGGAATATATGAGCATGCTCATGAGCATACTGGATTTTGGTATATTTATGAGTAGACAAGATGCTTCCTAAAGCCCTGGGCAAACTAGGAAACATTGTTGCGGAAACATCGTTTCCTACCACTGTTTCGCCATGTTTCCCAGAGTGGGCAAACACTGGGAAACATTAGTGAGAAACATAGGGAAACATCAAATGTTTCTGAAGTTGGTAGGAAACATTTTTGCTTCCCGGGAAGCAAATTTTGTTTCCGCAACAATGTTTCCACGGGTGGGCAAACATGGAAACATTTAAGGAAACATCGAGAATCACAAATGTTTCCGCAACAATGTTTCCTAGTTTGCCCAGGGCTTAAGTAGTGAAATTTTCACACAAGATTTTATCCTTACCCTAGCATGCTTTGCATGGCCATTTGTTGAGCAAAAAGATGTTGGTTATGTTGCAAGGTTAAATATTGTGCCGGGGCTACACGAGAATTGCTTTCCCCCGGTTCCACTGAAAATTGATCGTAGGACGAGTGAAACGGAGGACCAGAGTGCGACATCGGTGTATTGATAGGCATGACGGGGGTGCTCAATGGATTGGAACCAGAATACGATGGGGTGCTGAGGGATATAACGGGTGTTATGATTGTATCGCTGTTTGAACCATGGACGCCGCCCGATCTCACGTTTTGAGACTAGAATGAAAACATAAGACAAAAAAAACATTAGCCTCTCGACGAAGGACCTCGTCATGTCAGAGCCAGGGACGCCGGAACTGGGGGGGGGCAGGAGGGGCAGCCGCCCCCGTTGCCCTTTACCAGGAGGGGCAACGGGGCAAAGGTGCCCTTTCTATTTAAAGGATTGCCTTGGCGAAATAGCGAATTGTCAGAAATGTTAGTGCAATTCTTTTACGAATTTGCTTCAGAAAACGCAAGAAATGCAGTCATCGAGCTTCAAGAATAGCGCAATCGCCTGGCGGAGAACCCCCTCACACCCCTATCATCCAATAAATAGAAAATATGATTAGGCGAAGTTCAACTCCCGATGTTTTGCAAACATCTCTTAGTATATATCAATTCAAAAGTGCCCTTTCACGAAAATCTGCCCCCCTTGCCTTCACATCGTCCCGGCGTCCCTGGTCAGAGTCATTACTGTCATTTTTTGTACAGTTTTTTTTCTGAACAAGCTTCGCATAGTTGCAGTATACTTTCAGTTCTTGTCAAAAAGGATATCTGCTATTAAGAAAGCATCAATAGGATAAACGCAGATTAGAATAAGCAGAGAAGTTCCCAATAAACATTTCCCCTTCATGGCATTGGTAGTTGTAACTAGTTCGCGGTTTTTACACAATGGTTAAACTTACAAATCTGGCTAGTCCGCTTTCTGGCAGTTAAAGGGTCTTGTAGATAGAAAAATGATCGAGAGTGGAAATTTATGCATATTTATTAAACCTAACCAGGAACAGCTGCGAAAAATGCAAATAGCAAGTAATGAATACAAGCGATGATTGAAGCCTTTCCACACGCCGCAATGGACCATTTGCATTATAGACATCTAAACAAAAATTTCATCACAGCTTGAAAGAGCATCACAAAATTAGTAATATTCCAAAGTTTCGTTACGAAATGTTGTAAAATGCGGATAATATAGCCATGCGAAGTTTGCCGTTTTTCAGTCATTTTGTATTACGCACGGGAAATT